GGGACAAATAAGAGGAATGGGTGGTTACGAAGAAAAAAGGCTGCCAGCCAAATTTCATGGCAACTAGAGTAAAATTTTTGCATGATCCTAGTTACACTGGAGAATTATAACGCTTTCTAGTTTGGAATACACTGATTATATTTCAAAACGTGTGAGACTTGGTACAATGAGAAATAACTTTTCTTGACAGTTGTATGTCTATAAAGACTCTAGTGGTGGCCCTCAAAGCACCTCTGTGCTACCCAGTAATCCTGCTATATCATCTTGCACTAGATCACCCCTCTCCACCCTCCTCCCCTTCCACACTTTTCCCTCCGCCACCATTAGTTGATCATCTGGCTTCTGAGTCCACTCAGAATCAAAGACAGAATCACTCAGACAGGGATAGCTCACCGCCAGAGACCAGCCTCCCCACACGCCCCTACCTGAGCTGCTTTCTCTCCTGTTGATAGAGATGAATAGGCTCTACCAGACTCAAGGTATTTCCCTCCAGAAGTTAACCCCTCTCTCTGTGCATTAACCGGCTATTCATGCCCAAATCCAAAATTTCCTTTGAGTCCTCTTCATCTCACACCCACAATGGAATCATCAGTAAGTCCTGTCTGGCTTACTCTGAATATATCTAAATTCCACTTATAGTTGTCATTGTAGTCCAAATTAACATCACCTTTCTCTTGGCTGATCTCAATAGCTTCCTCATAGTCTCTGCTTCCACACTTGTCCTCCTCTTCCACTTCACAAACAGAATGATCTTTTAGGAATTGAGGCCAGTCATGTCCTCTCTCTGCAGAAACCCCTAAAAGTGCCTTCTCATTTTACCAAGCTATAACCTTGCTGGCTATCCCTCTGCATCATCTCCTACTGTTTTCCTTCCATTCCTCTGTATCAGGCACAGCGGCCTCTTTGCTATGCCTGGAGTATGCCAAGTCCACTCTACCTCAGGGCCCTTCCATTTGTTCTTCCCCATATCTGAAAAGTTTTTCCCCAGGAATGCTTCAGACCTTGCTCCCTCACTTCATTCGTATCTCTGCTCAAATGTTCCCTCATCAGGGATGCCTTCCTTGACCCAACCACCCTATCTTAAAATGGCGCCACCCCTATCACTTCTGAACTCCTTTACCTACTCACTGTATTTGCTCTCACAATGCTCTTCACCCCCAGATATTATAACACAAATTGATTTTATGCAATACTGACTATATATTATTATATATAGTTATACATTTGTATATTATATATTAGACACACACACACACAGACTCATTGTCTCCCTTTCCCGTCGCCATCTCATCACTACAATAAGAATTCATCAATATGTCTTCGTAGAACAGTGCCCGCCACATAATAGGTGGCTCAAAAATTGTTGAACAGATTAGCAAAGCTATTCAAATTTCACCAGTTCTCCCAAGTGTCACTTGTGCAGTGCTTCACCTGTGCTGAAGTTTTATGGGTTAGATACACTTTGAAACATCTGATTTTGAAATAATAAACATTAGTCATAATTCTCAGGAATTTGCTCAACAAGTAGAACTCAGTTTCTTCTTAACAACTTCCTTCACTACATTGATTCCTCCTGGCTTTGGCATTCTCCCCCTCTAAACATTTCACTCTGTTCTCTCCCACTGGACATTAACTTTGTGGTGCTATATCTTATTCAAAGTATCATATTTAAAATTCTGCCTACTGTTCTGCCTAAGGAGAACTGTTATATCTTCTCAGCACCATCAGGTCCTCTAATAGGGCACTGGAGAGCAAGAAAAATAAAAAACTTTTGAACTGTTCATTTCTTTCTTCATGTCTTTTTTTGCTCATTTTTTTGTTTGTTCCCTAAATAATTTTTTTTAATGTTTTATTTATTTCTAGGAGAGAGAGAGAGACAGCGTGAGCAGGGGAGGGTCAGAGAGAGGGAGTCACAGACTCTGAAACAGGCTCCAGGCTCTGAGCTGGCAGTCAGCACAGAGCCCGACGCGGGGCTCGAACCCACGAACCGCGAGATCATGACCTAAGCGAAAGTCGGACGCTTAACCGACTAAGCCACCCAGGTGCCCCTGTTCCCTGAATAATTTTTCCTATCTTATTTTATCAAATCAGAGAGATTAATAGAAATAATGTTCACTGACTTCAATGCTATGGTACAAAGTTATTATCTCTGGAAATCATATCCTGCTTAGAAATGTATCACAGATGAAGTCCATATTCTGGATCAGTGCACACATGTAATTATAAAGAAAAAAAAGTATATCAGAAAAGGTTGAATGTTGCAGACATTGGAAATAAATTGACCTCCATTCCAGTTACTATCATGCATATACAGAACGAAAAACCTGCATCTGTTTCACTTTGTAAATGCCTGAAGCCTCCAGAGCAGAACCACAAACTCGGGAAATGGCCAGCAAGCATTCACCATAAGGGCGCTAAAGCCATCCATGGACTAATCTCTGAGGTGGTACTGTTAAAAGAGTGTTCAGTACTAATTTTGAATTTGTTTTATAGACTTTAATTCAAGTAACCTACTTCTAACCATTGAAAAGGAAATAACTGACTCCTTACTAGGCTTCAAGTGCCTCCAAGGCAATGGTTTCGTCTTACTCACAGCCACAGAGGCAGGCACATGATTTCAGTACTGGACATGACTATAGAAGTCAACTAGTTGGAATTTAATCATCTTGAATGACTAGGTAATGCAATCTATCGCGGTTTCATTTGTGTTTTGTTTTTTTTTTTTTCATCTTGAATTGCTGTCCCATCTCATACATGAGAATTCCAAACTAAGAAACTCCAGTCTGAGCCTTTGGCAGATAGACTAACTGAAATGACCTAATAGTCTTTGTTGTACCCATCTGGGACCAGAAGCGAGGTGGCAAGATCAGCTTGCAGCAGCGTCCCCCTCCTCCCCTCCTCCACATCCTCCACTGATGTGTGCGACTCCTCACAGCAGGGTAGCCATGGCCTGCTTGAAAAGAAATGAATTTGCACGACCATCACAAGGCTCTTCTCAAGCATGGCTCTAGAAAAAAAACTTTCCTGGTGCTATTAAAGTGCAGAAAGTTATCACACGGACACTCACATACTTACAGGAATGAGGAATGCAGAAACATCACCATGCAAAAGACTAAGGACTGGCCCTGCCAGGACAGACCACAGCTCAGTATTCTCTGTCCTTTCCAGGGGGCCACGAAGGGAACTCAGAAGCAGGGTGCTTTGTCAAAAGGGGCACTAGACCCAAAGTCAGGAGACTGAGAACTGCTTCTAGCTCTTAGGCTTCTCTTTGTCTGAAAACCATAGAGGCTAGCAGAGAAAAACTCCCCGTGTGGTTCTAGACCTATGTAGATGAGAAGCTCTGCAATGCTGTTAGAAAAATTAGCTTGGCCCCTTGAGCTTCCTTTGGTCCATCTCTTAGCTTTTGCACACAGATGGTCAAAATGAGGGCCTTTTATTTCACTTATAAGTAGATCAGGAGAAACTTAACAGAGGATCGTGGGGGAGGAGAAGGGGAAAAAATAGTTGGGGAGAGGGAGGGAGGCAAACCATGAGAGACTCTTGAATACTGAGAACAAACTGAGGGCTGATGGGGGGGAGGAGAAGGGGGAGATGGGGATGGAGGAGGGCACTTGTTGGGATGAGCACTGGGTGTTATATGGAAAAACCAAGTTAACAATAAACTATGAAAGAAAAAAAATCCAAAATAAAATAAAATGAAATAATAAAATAAAATAAAACTCTGCCCTCAAATCAAGGTGGTTCAGAGTAACACTTTGGCTGGTATCACAAGGCTCCCAGCGCAATGCTTCACTGCTTCCTCAGCATATGCCAGTGCCCATTTTACAGGGGGGATTTATGATCCTTCTCTCAGTAGAGCGAGCCAAAGTTTTATAATATTCATTAAAAATCAGCACCACATGTAATAATATGGAATACTGCCTGTACACAAGGGGGCCAAGTTATAGGTGTTCGGGGAAACGTGGCAGAATTTCTTGGCCTTGGCGGGGGTAAAGTTGCAGGCACCAGCACTGCGCTAACACAACCTTCTTTCATTGCAAATGTTCGTTCACTCTATGTCCTAATTACTTTCTGTAAAATCCTCACCACCATCAAGCTTTCTTCTGACAGGGCAGCCACACGATGGCCTTAAAGTACAGAAGCAACACCCTGGCAGCCTCCAAAGTAAGAGGGAGGGGAGAGGCTGGAACCCAGGAGGAGTTAGGGCTGAAGCTGAAAGCGAAGCTTTCCATTTACACTTCGCAACCGCTCTCGCCCCTTCTAAAACCAAGTCATGGGAGCTGACAGACTCGCTCAGTGGGACGCGCCCAGGCCCTCGGGTGAAGGATTCAACCGTCACCGTCTCTGTTGGGTCGGAAGCTACTCTTCCTCGCCCCACCCTCCCTCATGAAGGGGCCAGGTTAGCTTGGTGGGGGCCCACGGAGCATCTTTTCCCGCCCCTCCTGGGAAACGCTAGGCAACCCAGGAATCCCGGGTCTCGACGTCTGGCTCCTCTGCTTGAGGGCAGGGCCCTGGGCTCTGCACCCCTCCCCACGTGCCACACCAGCCCTCACCACTCCCCCCACCCCCACAAACCCTCAACCCTTGCCTTTCAAGGCCCTTGGGAGTCCCGAACACGGCCGGACCCGGCCAGGCGCTCAGCCGGGTCGGGAGCAGGGGTCTCTCCCCGCCGCGCGGCTGCACAAAGCGGGGAGTGCAGCGGCGGCTGAGGCGCGCCCCCTCCCGCGAGCCGGCGGAGCGCGCGCGCCCGCCCCCGCCCCTCGCCCCCCACCCTAGCCCCCGGAGCGCCATTCGCGGAGCGGCTTACGCTAGTCGCCAGGCGTACGGCGCCCCAGCGGCCGGGGAGGTGCGCTGCCCGGCTCCCGTAAAGTTATTGTGAATGGGGAGCGGGTGACGTCAGCGCCGAATGTCAACAATGTAGCGATTGAGAGTGTGGGCGTTCCGGGGAGAGCGCTAGCCGCGCGGCGCGGAGCAAACAGCGCCGAGCCGCCGCCGCCTCAGCAGCAGCAGCAGCAGCAGCGACCGTGCACACCCGGGCTGCGGCCGCAGCCGCGCTAACGTGAGCGCCCGCCGCCGCCCTCTCCACCCCGCCTGCCTATTCCCGCGGCCGCCGGGCTCTTGCTTTCTCTCCGGCCTCCCCTCGACCCTTCCCCTCCCCCTACCCGGCACACTCGGGGGCTGGGAACGAGCTGCCATGTGATGCGCGTCCTCTCCGAGAGCTTTCGGTGACCCCCGAACCGCCCACCGCGCCAGCTCCCGGGAGGAGGCTGCAGGCTGGGAAGACACTGGGAAGAGGAGGCGGAAAAGGACGCAAAGTTCTCTGGCGAGGTGAGTCCCCGGCCCCGGGTCCCGGGCCACGGCGCCGGGCGGGGCGGCGGGGCAAGTTAGCGGGGGGAGCGGGCGCGCGGGGCAGGCGGGGAGGCGTGGGGACGCGGCGCGGGAAGGGAGCCCCGGCAGCCCAGCGCGCAGCCGCCTGTCGAGCGCCCTGCCCGCTTTTATGGCATTTTCTAGGAACGGGAAGGGGGTGGGAGCCAAGCCGGCGGACGCGGCGCGGCGACTGTGCGCTCTCTCGCCAGGCTGTTTACGGCAGGCGAGGCGGCATTGTATTTTGCTCGCGTCGACGGGTGTTTTGGAACGGCAGGGGGAGGAGGAGCAGAGGGTAATAAGTCAGGCGTGGGGAGGGCGGACTGGAGGGAGGCGCGCGTCCGCGCGAGCCGGAGCAGCTGTCAGACCCACGGCCCTGCTCTCGGCCCCCAGCCCGCGATCCCCGCGCCAGGCCCGGCGGCCTCCTAGCTGCCGGCGGGGTCCGCGCCTGGGGCTGCTCCGCCGGGACTGCAGCCGCTGCGCCTTCGCGCTCAGCTGTCAGTCGCCGCTGGGTAGCTGAGACCTCCGCGACGGGCGCGGCATCACAGCCCAAGTTTAGAGTCCCGGGAAGAGGCAAGCCGGGAGGCTCGCAGCGCAGATGCTGGGAAGCGCACTGGGTGGAATCCCTACTGGCCAGTGACCGCGTTACCGGAATGCGTCCCTGGGAGCTCGAACCGAGGGGTTCGTGCCTTCAGAGCGAGAAACCTGGTACCTTCCTCCCCCCATGATTCTACACGAAATCAGAGTGCAACGCGCACACACCCTCTTCTTCCTCCCCACACTTCAGCTTCCAAGCTCCATCTAGGAGAGGAGTTTGTCCAGGGGACACCTCCCCACCTCCCCATGCCAAGTCTCCCTGTGATCGCTTCGTACTCCTCTCACGGGTGGGTGCTCAGTAGTCCAGTGCCGTTGGAGAGGGCGGCGGGCGGCGCTCATGGACTACCCCAGCTGCCCGCGAGAGGGGACTCGAATGAGCATCTCGTCCACTTGGATCTGGCTGAGGATTTTGCAGAGGAACCGAACCGTGGGAGGAAGCGGGCAGGGCCGAGTGTATGCACGTGAAAGGGGCCGCGCACCCCTGGCTTCGGGGGTTGTGGACGTGCGGAGTGTCTTCAGCACCTTCTGGCGTGTAGGCGAGTTTAACAACTTGGGGCAAGTTCCAGTGTAGGCGCTTGTCCGGATGGTTTTGTAATGTGGAGAAGGCGCGCCTCGCAGCTTTCGCGCCGGGTCACCAAGACCGCTGCGACCCGCGGCCCCCGAGAAATGGGAGGGACGAGGGCGCCCCACCCCCTACCGCGCCGCAGACTCAGAGAGCAAGACGGGGCGTTCCTTGGTTTTCACCTCCACTGTCTACTGCTGCAGTCGCACTGTGTGTGTAAATTTCATCTGTTGAGTGTATTTAACTAAAAAGGGCAATTACTTTAGATAAAAATCCTTTTCTGCCTAGTGGGAACCTTGGCAGATTAGATGATGCCTAATGAGATATTTTGCTTTTGTCTGTTTAGAGTAAAATTAGAGATGTTAACTCTGATAACGGTTTTCTCAGATCATTAAAATGTAACATGTAGGAAAGGCATGTCGAGCTGCGAAGGCTCTGGCTGACATGAAAGAAGCTGAGCGTGAAAGGCTGCCGCTCTCTCCGTGGAGAGGGCTATTTTGGTAAGGCAGCGGGCGTCTTGCTTAAAATGTGAGATTGCCCCACCCTGGTTCTCCAGCAGCTCCCGAGTAAATGGCATTTTTCATTCTTGCAGGTAGTAATAAACGTGAGTCAAAATGACATCTTGTTAGAATTAGTCTTTAGTCTGTAAGAGAGATTGCTAAATTACAGTGCTGCGCCCAGAATGCGCCAGTGAAAGGTCTGTCAGCATTTCCATTATAAATTCAGTTTTCCGGGACTTTATAATTTCACCACAAAAGTTGTGGTAGCTAAAATGTTTTTTCCCTTCTAATGTTCTGGTTTAGAGAAGCAGATTGCCCAGTTCTGTCCTATTTGCTCTTCCTGAAACGAATGTCACTCAAAGTGGGGGGAGTCGCCAAAATGGAATACACAATCATGGAATAAAGTACTTTTGTTAGAATGCACTCTAACTTCTGCAGGGCAATATCTATCTTCATTTTGCATTTTGGAAGGTTTTAGGTTTGACATTTGGTAATCATAAGTGTGTTGAGTTCATTCCTCTGGTATCTGTTGCTTCTGCAGGTGGATTGAAATGTCAGTTCGTTTTGTATATGCCAGGATTATAGGGGAAAACATTCTCTTCATACATGTGTATGTCTGAACTCATAAGCTAAATTATAAATACCCTTGTTAGTTACTTTTCTGCTCTCTGTAGGTTGCATGTGAGGATCTGCCATAGAGAAAGAGGAGGTTAGGCAGAAAGGGAGGGAGGGCATCAGAACAAACCCCTCCTCCCCCTGCCCCAATTCACTTTTCAGTCTCGCTAATGCCTGGGAGGAAGCCATTTATTCCCTATCTATTGAATCATGCCTTTGACTCAGTATCTTCAGGCAAGTTCTTTCCAGTCACTCACCTCTGGCTGCTGTATGAGGGGCTTAATTATTTGCAAACTGCCTTGAAATCCCTGGATGAAAGGCACTGCAGAAGTGCAACGTATTGTTATTCAGATATGGAATTTAATGATCCATTACAGTTCATCAGGAAATGCACTTTGCAGTGATGGTAGGAAACGTTTCCACCTGATAGAGGGTAATAATAACTGCTTAAAAGTGGGTTCAGATTACAGATGAGACAATTAACTCTAGCCATGTGCTCTTCAATTTGTTGCAATTCATTTTGTGATCAAAGTGAGTTGCAGAGAGCCAGATGGTCAGGTTCATGTTCAAATCTCTCCTAGGCCAGCCCTTCACTTCTGGGCCCACTGTCTGCACAGCCGATGGGACTTACTCATTAGCGCTTGTGAGCTGTTTCTCAGAATGTATGATCGGGGCCCCTGTGATGCCAACAATAGAGCTCAGGCCAATCTATATTGTTGGGAGCAGTTTAATTTTATTTGGATTAACTCACGCTTAGTATCTCTGATATGGATCCAGCCTTAACAAGAGAGGAGAGAGATCCTAGAGGCTCGCTCGCTAGCTCAGCTGTGCTGGGCCTCACTCCCCTACTTTTTGTGCTTCTGATTTCAGGGGGGTATGGTATCTGGCATGTTGTTAACGCTGGCTTCATTACCGAATGAATCACAGAATTCCTTAGGGAAATAAATACCCTTACTGTTTTTGCTGAGGGGGTGTGGTGCAAGACTAGGTTCGAGGGCATGTGCTTGCTCTGTTGTACCCTTACCCCTGCTCGGAAGGATCTCACACTTGGTTGAATCTTCTGTTGTTAATCATCTTGAAATCCGTAGTAATTATTGAATTCGGGAGCACTTTGTTTTCATTTTTCACTCTCCTGGTGAGGAGTGGAGGGATAGCATTGAGGGGCAGGGAACCACTACTTTGTCTTACCTTCTTGTTGACTGTTGCCACACGGGAATAGGTGGGAATACTGGCTTTGTGTTGCCATGTCGTCTGGTTTATCCAAGAGAAGCTGGATATCTGGAGTTTTATGTGGAACCCCTTAGTTTAAAATACTAGCTCAAAAATTTTTTTAATGCTGAATCAGAATGTATGCAATAGCTAAAGCTGGCCTATAGGTAGCCTTTCTCCTACCACTGAAGAAATAAAAACTTCTTACTGTTTAGTATTGCTATATTTGGCTACTTTCTAAAGGCCTAGCACATAGTAGATAATTTTGAGTCTCCACCAAATAAATGGTTGTAGCTATCCACAAAATTGAAAGATACAAAAAAAACAAAACTTAAAATCAATGCTGAGGCCCACTCAGGGATTGATAACTTTCTTTTTGATAGAGAATGCAGCATCAAAGGCGAAACACCTAACATCATGGACACTGTGATAATCCTCTGCAGGTACATAATCCATTCCTTTTAGATAACCTGTTCTCTACTTAGTTGTTATTGATCAAATGGAGTAACTTGGCTATTAAATGCCTAAAGACCTACATGATAATTTGACATTTGAGAACACCCACTAAAATAATAGTTGTGATTTACTGAAGGCTCAATATGTGTCAGAAACAGTGTTAACTACTTTACCTGTTACATATCTCATTGACTCCTCAAAGCAATTTTGTAAAGTAGGCATTGTGCCCATTCTACAGAAGAGGAATTTTCTCATTTTATGCTGTAAAGAATTTCACCTGAATGCAGTAATCGTTTTCTTGACTGTCTAAAGGCTATTCCCCATCCTGTATGTACAGTTCAGCCCTGAGTCAATGACTGGATATGCAGTAGAGACCACACTAAACAGAGGACATGGTTCCTACTGCCGTGTACAAGGAACATAGAACAATACCAGATGCAACATCTTTGTCAAAATCTGCATTTATACAGCAGACATTGCATCTGCCTCTCTGTTCCTCTCCTTTTACCAAATGGATGTTACAGAAGTTCCAGTGACATAGAAACCTTGCAGAGGCACTAGAGGATCAGAAGCTAGGGCTGGTTATGAAAATTTGCATTTTGGGGGAAAAGAATATAAACTTCTGGCACAGCTGGAGCTACATTAGGCAGAGCAGACCCTGGGAATGACAGAAAATCGCTTCTGCTTTGTCAGTAACAGTGAATGACCTCCTCCTGGCCCATCTTTAAATTTTATGTAAATATTTACAAATTGTTCAAGTCCAAACTGAAACCTGCTGTGAACTAAATATTTTCTAAGTTTAGAAAGATTGCCCAGAATATTCTTTTTTTATTTTTGTGGTCTGGGACACCATTTCATAGAAAAGTAGTTTTCTTTGTCAATTCAGGGTTTTTCCTTTAACTTTCCTTCCCGTTTTTTTCTTTCTTGTTAATTTCAAATGTCAGTCTACCTAAAACTGAAATCTAATCTTACCATCAGCATGCTGCCTAAAGCTGGAAGTATCCTCAGAATCACTACTCTGTCCT